ATCTGGGAGCAATTATGCGTGACAAGGTGCATCACCTTCCAGGGGTGAGTAGATGTTTCTGGGAGGCTCTGGGTCCTGAGAATTGGCCAAACCTTTCAGAGCTGCGGAAGCTGCTCCTTTAGTGGTGCATACAAGTGCCTCGGGTTGGGCTGCACCCTGAGCTCACTGAGAGGACATCCCATCCACCCAGCTGTCACCTGGACACTTTGAGGGAAAACGGCCAGAAAGGGGGGCGGGGGGGCCACTGAAGCTGAGGTGTCCTAACAGAGGGCGGGATCTGGTCAGCTGTCCATCCATGACAAGGAATGGGGTTGCCTGTGTTCAGAGAGCCCAGCAGCTCATCCTCACGAGCCTCCCACCCTTAGAGAAGCTGTTGAGAGCACAAGGACTGCATGTCCTTGAGGTGGGTGGGCAGCAGTTGTCCCGCAGGCCAGGGTGCTGATGCTTGGGTGTGTCCTGGTCATGGACAAGCTCAGACTGTGGACCTCTGGACACTGGGGTCTGAGCTTCTTGAGTCAGGGACTGTAACCCCCGGATGTGCAGACCTTCCCAAACCTGAGGCACTGGGGGTGAGGCTACTTCAGATTGTGACTCCACCAGCTACAAACTTCTTGCTGTCTGACCGTAAGCAAGTGACTTCTTGACTCTCCTAATCTGCAAAATGGGCACATACACAGACACAGATGCATTCTGTGCGAGGCCTCTGTATCTGCCTCCCAAGGCTGCTGTGAGGGCTGCCTGAGGGCTCCTGAGCTCATGCATTCTGTGAGGCGTGGTGTGAGGCCCTTGGCACACCTCAGTCAGTAGTTACTTTAAGCAGTGCCCTCTCTGGCCAGGCATTAGAAATATTCATCTCCCTAAGTGAGAGACGTGAACCTGTAACAGCCTTAGCAACCAGGCACCAAGAGGGCATGGAGGTTCCCACCTAGATGACCAGTGTGAGGGCCCCCGGGGGCTGCCCTTCTGCCCACCAGCAGCCTACAAGGTGTGAAGTACTCTAGCCAGTGGTGTGTGAGGAGGGACCCTTTCAGCCAGGAGTGGATCTGGAGTCCTGAACATCAAGGTGACAGAGTATCCCTCTAACACTCAGTTCCCAGGGGCTGACCAAAGACTTTCAGGGACCCAAAGTCACCCCACTTTGTAGGGGCTCAGTTGGGCAGGGTGGCAATGTCACCACTACAGTCACAACTTCCAGCAGTCTCCCTGGTGGAATTTGCCCGGGAGTGGGATCTTTGCCTATCAGCCCCCTTGCTCTGCATGCTGGGCTCCGGGCCCCAGACTGCTCCCTTCCCTGCACCCACATCCCCTTCACTTTCAGGATGAGGGAGTCTGTTCATCTCTCATGTGTCTGAGACTGTGACTCATCTGGATAGGGGAGCCCTTGGACACCCACATGTCTGCATACTCTGTGAGCACCGGGGGCAGCAGTGAGGCGGTCAGCGCACAGGTGGTCAGTTCTGAGGACTGTGCGTGCCGCCTCCGGTCTTGTGCATCCACATCCCACTCTTCTTGGTTCGCGCAAGCCCCAAAGAGGCAAAGGCACCTAAGAGCCGAGTCTTCACCTCATGTGGCTTTATGGTCGGGTGGGTGGGTGGCGAGGTACTGGGATTTAGTCCCCATCTTTTGCTGTGGGGAGTAGGGGATCTGCAGGGAGAGGTCTGGAGTGGGGTCCAGACCATTGAGACCTGGAGTGGGGTCCTCCCAAGGCCCTGTAAGGAGGGGGTGACTGTCTTCCATGGTCAAGTTCTTAGACAAAAATGCTGCCTTGGGCAAGCCACCTGGAGACAATTCGCACCCCAACTGCTTGCCCTTCAGCGTCCCATACCTGCAGGGGAGCACTCATTGGTATACCTTGTGCCAAGGAATCGATCACAGAGATGAGTCAGAGCTTGGAAGCAAATACCCAATCTGTCTGTGCTCTGTGCTGTGGCCAGTTCTGATCCCCGGGAGTGAAGAAGATTCCCACTGAAAATCCTTACCTGCGTCACAGAGGGATTCTGGTGCCAACCCACGCGTTCCTCCTGCCACCATAACTTTCATGCAACAATTCCCATTTCTGACCATGCTCAGTCAATTTAATTAGTGTTGGAAAGCAGCTTATTTGGTAAGATGATCAGTTTCTAACCTGGGTAAACACTGTTCTTTATGACTATAAATTAGGCACATTATATCTGCTCCCCGCGTCGTGGGCACCTCATAAAACCATAGGCGCTGGCCGGCCGTCTCGCTTGGTTACCTTTCCCATTACCGTTTTATCATCTTGCTGGTAGGAGTGGGGAATTCATTCTGTTTTAATAACAAGGAGGAAGTGGTGACAAGGGGCTTGTTTAATGAGGACACCAGTGCTTGGTCATCGTCTCTGCAGATGGGCTGGGGGCTCCAGGCCTGCCGTTGGGCAGGCCTGCCCAGCGGTCAGGGCCTGCTGCCCACAGGCTGGGGAGGTAGATGCAGGGCTTTTGAGTTCCTTTTGTCTTAAGTGCAAAGAATTAGAATCAGATATTTTCCAATGGCCACTTTCCATGTCTGAGCGGCTAAGTGTCAGTGACAACTTCGAAGAGCACAGTTGGCACAAGTGTTTTCTTAACAGCAACCCCCACACCCGCCAGGCACAGCCTGTGTGGGGGCCTCCAAGAGGGGCCTGCAGGCGGGAGGCTCCACACAGCACGTGGTTTCAGAGGCCTTTGATGCAGTGTGCATGTGAGTTTTCCAAAGGAGACATAGAGGATGGAAGTCGGAGCTCTACCCCACCCACAGGAGCTTCCTCTAGTTTGCCTACCTGGGCAGGGTCACGTGGTCTCTGAAGCCCTTCCTGCTCTGCCACTCGGATTCTAGGCCCCTCTACCCCAGAAGACCCATCTCCAATCCATGCCTCCATTCTTCAGCTTCCCTCTGCCCTCCTTGGAGGCGGGGAGGGGAGATGAACCCTCAAAAGGTCCTGTGTGTGGGCGTCCCCACCTTTTGCCCCATCTCATCCTCAGCTGGTGTTTGAGCACTGGCACCAGATCAGTTAAGATTGGCTTTTCCAGCTATTGTGTTCGGGAAGCCTGAATGTGTAGAACCACAGGAGGACAAAGTCCCTACCCTGGGGCCTCCTGAGTGTGGGGTGGAGCATGGGTGGGGCAGCTGGCTATAGCTGGCAGCAAATGCTCATGGACGAAATGGCCTGCAATAGTGGTGGGGTTTGGGGAAATGAGGGGGGAAGGGGATAATTTAGGCTGAAAGAGCAAGTGGGCAGCAGAGCCAGAGTCCCGAGGCAGGAACTGAATACAGAAGCTCAGGGACTGTCACTGTTTCTTCAAAATGGGGCCATCAGTGTGTGCCTTCCCATCACACAGGCAAGTTTATTAGAACAGTGATACAGTGGCAATGCTTTGTGTCCTGCCCTGTCTAGGAAAGAAACAAAGGCTGATATTTTTAGAGCTGTATTAGTTTCTCCTAGTAGCCGCCAGCACTTTCCAGGATAACTCATTTCGCAACCACCCAGGAGAATCGTGCTAATCAAAGGCACTCTGTGGCAAAGCAGCCATAAACACCGTGGGTGGAGGGCCTCCAGTCCAGGCTCCCACTGCCGCCAGCCTTCAACTCCCCTCCACCTGTCAGCCTTGACAGGAGGATGTGCTGGGGGCCGCCGGGTGCCACTGAGCCGTCACGGTGACTGGCGAACAATTAGCAAAGTGGATAAAGAAGATTCACACGCCCACTTAGGATCTGCACTTTTACACTGCTCAGAGCTATTTTGACCTTCCAGTTTATTATGATTCAAGACAAAAATCAATATTTCTTAGCTTGCCAAGGCTGGAAGAATTTAAATGAGTTATTGAATCAAGCAGTTAATCTACCAATAACTGATTTTTTTCTTCTTTCAAATCTATAATGATGAAAAGCAGACTAAACCAGAAACAAGAAAAGGAAGTTCTTTTTTTCCCCTTAGATGTTTTAATCCTAGGGGGTTGGAGCTGGGGCTGAAACTTCCATGTGGATGACCAGGGCCACTCATTTTCCCTGAGTATTTTGAAGAAGATTTAATTAAAACTTAAAGGAAAGACTTCTGTGGCCATGAGATCTGCATTCATGTTTTAATTACTTGTATTTTGATATCCCTCTGAAATGCCCAGCTTGCTCTGTTGCCTTGGCAGGCAGCCAGTCCTGCGGGTCCCTTAAAGAGGTGGCATCAGCTATAGGTGCTCGCCAGGCCCTTCACTCAGTGCACCCATTTAGCTACAGCCCAGGCTGCCACCACCGTCCTGTTTGGCAAGTGAGCTCTGGGCATCGCTGCCTGAGATTGTTCTGGGCACATGTTGGGTGCAGTGGACACCCAGGCACATGGCTTGAGACCCCAACAACCCAGCATCTCCTGTTTTCAGACCTCGTCCTGCGTGGCCAGGGCTGCAGTTTTGTGCTAGGGAGAACTCCCCAGTGGACAGGCCTCCCTGATGATGTGTGTCATGGAGAGTCATGTTTTCCCCCAGCCTCTGGCTGCCCTGCCATTCCAAGCCCTTAGAATAGCGCTTTGTTCTTGCTCCACAATTCTTCCCTGCACTCCGTGGCTCCACAGTGCCTCCCACACTAGACCAGGACGCCTCTGCTGGGCTCTCTAAGTTTCCTAAAACCATGCCTTGTGCCCCCGTATCCCACCACCACCCCGACCCTTCTCAAAGCTCCTCATCCTGTCAGGTCTCCTTCCTGGGGCTCAGGAGCTGTGCCCTGAACTCCCTCTACCTGGCGGCTGTCTCCTCCATGTGTTTGCCCATGTGTTTTCTTCCCTGCAGGATGCCAGGCCTGTGTCAGGGATGTCTGGGTGCTATGAGCAGATGCTGCTGTGGGCACCCAATGCCCAGCTCTATTGGAGGGGCAGAGGACCCATCAGTACATGGCACCCCAGATCTTGGCTCCACAGGCAGATGGAGCTGCCGCTCGCCATGACTTGGGATTGCCATGAGGCAGTAGAGACCCCCTCCTTGGTGCTCACATCTGACCCTCCTTGTTTGTGTGCCTGGCAGGACTTGGCCACGACGGGCTGCCAGCCGCATGCGGGAAGATGTTCTGTGGCCGTGGGAGCAGGTGCGTGCTCAGCAGGGAGACGGGGGAGCCCACGTGCCAGTGCCTGGAGGCCTGCAGGCCCAGCTATGTGCCTGTGTGCGGCTCTGACGGGAGGCTCTATGAAAACCACTGTGAGCTTCACCGTGCCGCCTGCCTGCAAGAGAAGAAGATCGCCATCATCCAGAGCAAGGACTGCTTCCTTAAAGGTAGGAAGGAGGTGCCTCACCTCGCTGCTTTTTGGTTTGTGATGGATCTTCTGACACCCCTGTGACAAATGATCTGGTTGCTGAGTCTGCAGGTTAAATGTGGGAAGTAGGGAGGGGGAAGGCCGAGCCCCACACAACAGCAGCTGTGGCATTTCGTGATGCATGTCTGTGTCCGCCTGCCCCTAGGGGAAGCCCCTTGGGGAGCAGACTCCAGGTGGCCCACCAAGCCCTGGCTGGTGCAGAACGCAAGGCCTTGTCCAGGTCCCTTGCGTAGGGTGGGCCCTGCACGGTGGTGGCAGGGACTGTGCTTACCTCTCTGGAGAGACTCTCACGAGTCAGCAGGTCACACTGTGCATCACACTTGGCCAGGCAGGTTCCCGGAATGGCAGGCGCTCAAGTTCCGGCCTGGAATGGTTGTCGATGGACCGGTGCTCCCTGCCTGGCCTTCAGAACATCCCTGAGCAAGACAAGGAAGGCCCTGCATGAATGTCAGAACATGTCTGAGAAGCCGGGGCCAGAGGGCTCATACTTTTAGCTGGGGTGGTGGCAGAAGAGAAGGGTCATGTCTGCTCCCAACAGATGGGAGGGACCTGCGGCTCTTCAGGCACTGATACACTCAGCCACAGCACAGAGGCTTGCTGTAGGGAGGCTTGACCATGAGAGTGGGAGTTAGAGTATGACTCTCGTGTTGATGTGGCCACTTGTGAATGGAACGTTCTCTGTGTGAGCAAGTCAGCAGATGTGAGAAGGCAGGAGCAGGCCTGCTAGACCTGGGTAAGCCTACTCTGAGGTCAGAGATCTGCTTTGGGCTAGCACAGGAAGGGGAAGAGAAAGTTTAGGGTGGAGCCCCACCAGCAACACGGACAACAGAAAAGCGCCTGTCACTGGTCAGAGCGGTGAGGGCCTGGGCACCCAGAGCAGAGGGCCCGACCTGCACCTCACTCTGAAGGGTACCCACTTATGGTAGGGTGATGGGGAGTGCACAGCAGCTCAGCGGGAAGCACAGGCCTGGTGGACTCCTGCAGCCTCCATCCTGGGTGCCGCCTGCACCCAGATGCAGGACCATTTTCCCCTGCCCCATGCGCCCAGGCAGTGGGATCCTGGAGTGGGTAGGGCTGGGGAGAGTTGCGTTTATCCTGTGATGGGAATGGCCTTGGACACTTTCATGGCCGTGCTGGTAATGCTGACGCTGAGGTGCTTCAGAAATCATGAGGTACATTATGGAAATGAGGCCAAAATGAGCCCAAGAAAAATGTCCCTGGTCTAGAAGCGCTGACCAGCGCCTGCCTGCCGATGCTCCGGCAGCCACGAGCACTAAAACACTTGACCAGCTGCTCCCGCTTTATTGGCCATGTTGAATTTTATAGACTGATGTTCCATTCTCCAGTTTCCAATATCCTCCAAATTGCATCTTTCTAAAGGTTTTTATTTCTGCATCAGAGTGTGCACAGCCTCCCTCACCATCGGTTATTCAAACAGCATTTCTCATTTCATGCAAGGGAAAAAACAGCCGCCAGAAAGCCTGCACGGCGAGGGATGGTGGGGGCTGGAGAGGCTGGGGTGGTGGGCAGGCAGATTAGGGCTCAGCTCTGTTTCCACCTGACTGAATTTAGCCACCGAATCCTTCTGATTCGCTGGTTTTTTCACAGATTTTGTGACTCCCCACCCCTTCCATGTGGTGGAACCACTCTCTTGAAGAGCCTTCTTCAGTGGCAGCTCCCAGAGACACCTGGGGCTGCAGCCTCACATGGCCACTTCCCGGCTATGTGACCTTGAGCAGAGTTCTGCTTCTCTGGACCTTTTCCTCAGCTGTGATGCGGGGCTGTCTCCCACCACAGGGAAGCAATTGAGAGGTTGCACGGAAACCACTCAGCATGTGCCGGCACCTTCCCAGTTCTTGGTGTTGCTGACACTCATTGCTCTCATTTATCTAATCTGGCGTGACCTTAGACCTAGAGAACAGGGATGTGCTGTGAGGGGAATGCAGAGGCTGGGCAGCGGTTGCACTGAGCAAGACTTGGGGGGCATCTCTCGGCCCAGATAACTTAATGGCAGATGGGGAGGGAACCACAAAGGTGCTGGGAATGACTGACCAGAGATGCTCCCGGGAGCCAGGACTGACTCTGTGGGTCCGGACCCACCAAGCCATCATGGCTTCCTGCTCAGGGTCCACTCATCTCTTGCCCACCCCCTCTCCTCCAGCATTCCCATTGGCGGTGTCCAGGGCATGGTGGGGGGGAAGCAGGCCGGCTAAGGGGGGTGCTGTGGTGAGTATTTCTCCACCTTCACCAGGACTGTGGCCCCAACAGGGAACAGGAGGAGACGGATTGACAGAGTGATGGAGGCTCTTGGAAGAAGTGACAACTGCCTCCTTTCCCTGCCCCAAGATGGCAGCAGAATATCAAATGTCATCTTGAGTTCCATCAATGACAATTTGTCACTTGTTCCAAATCTCCTGGAAGTTATTGATACAGAAAACTCAAAAGTACACTTTTTCTCATGCAAACAAAAATTTAAAATCATCCATGCTCCACTCTCTTTTCCTACCAGAAATTACAAAGATAAGTTATAACTTCATTCTCTAAGGCTGTGTCTGCCCCCACAAGTGACTGTTTAGACAGTCCTTGCAGGGCTGGAGCATTTAGAGCAGGTGGGACAGGGTAAAGTTAGTAGCCATCAGAGCCCCAGACCCATCTAGGGTAGGCTTCTCCTGAGCCTGGCAGGGGACACACAACCTGGCCACTCTGCCAGCGCGGAGAGGCTGCATTTAAGCCCCATTTACAAGAAAACTTCTGGTATCACTTTCCAGTTGCCATGGCAATGGGATTCCTTGTGAATGCAGAATGGAACATAATATTATTTAGGGATCATTAGCATGTGAGAAAATCCAAACTGAACCCAAAAGCATTGCGTTGGCTCATGTTTGCAGCCTCCATGCCGGCTCTCCCAAAGCCCCAAGCAGGGTCTCTCTTGCTGAAAATCTGGGACAAAGCAATGTGGGATGTCATATCCCTTTCTTCTTGTGGCACAATCAAAGTCACATTTGTCCTCAGCATAAAAACCACCAGAGAATACAAAGATAGTGGGTGGAATACTCTGTAACTTTAACTTCCGATGGAGTTTGTGTCTTATAAGTACTCTTGTGGCTCAGCCTTCCTATTTGTGTACTAGTTGGCACTTTGAAAATTATTTTCCTGACTCGGTTCTGTATTCACGCTTTATCTCCTACGCTGTTTGAGAAGACAAGCCTGTCTTTCAGCAATCACTCACCACGCCAGGGTGGTGTTAGCCGAGATGATACAATGTCACAGTCGGGCAGTTTTCCAAACAAACCATGAAATTATGGAAGAAAGGAGCCTGCTAGAGGTTCAACTCTGAATGGATCTTAAGCTTCCTTGTCCTGTGTGGTCTTTGCAGGTGCACCTTGGCAATTCAGTCGGGACATCCCGAGCTCGTGAAATCAGAGGAAATATTTCCCATTTTGGAAAAAAACACTAATATCCTTAGGGCTCACTGACAAATCTAAACACAGTCATTAAAACCCCATCACTTTGTTGCAAGTTAGCTAGAGGATAGATTCTGTTCCAAAGAGACTTCTTTTTCTTCTCACTGTTGTTTTGTTGTTACTTTGAATCTTGTTGCTTTAGAAGAGAAAGTAAGCCCCACACCTCCAGGGCATTTCCACACTTGGGGGAAAGCTACTCATCTCTTTAGGTGTCTGCCAGCCTCAGCAGGAGACTCCGAGGTGTGGGGGAGCCTGGCGCAGGTGGATGATGGCGCGGGTGGGGGTGCTGGTTCACCCTGGCAGATCAGGTCCCTGTAGCAGGAGGTGCTGGGGTCAAGGGAGATGCATAGAGGCCAGGCAGAGAGGGTGATTAGCAGAGGCTGAAGGGCACAGTCTTGGGACCATGCCATCCCTTCTGGGACAAGGCATGCAAGTGCTCTGTGGCATCCACATGGGCTGCTCAGTGCCACGTGCGGGAGAACTTGGGAGCACGCTTCTCCAGGCGTCCCAGCGGCACGTGGGGCTAAATGGCGTCGTTGCAAACATCAGGGACATTTGAAGGGCAACACCAGAAGCTTTAAGACCCCTGCCCACATCTGACCGCACTGACCCAGACCAAGAGGTCCGGGTTGGTGGGTGTTCCCTCGAACAAGGGTGCAGAACATGGACCATCCATATTTATTTAATGTGTGAGCAAAATATGACCTCCAAGTGATCAAACTTAAATCAGTCACTTTCTCCAACTGCCTTGCTCTTGCAAAAGAGAGATGAGGAGTCACTGATGTTGATCCACCAGATTAATAGAAAAGTAAGAGGAGAACAAAGAGCCCCTGATTCTGGGTCTGGAAGAAGTTTCTGGATGCACGAAGGCTCTGGGGAACTGTCAGATCAGCATGAGGGAGGGATTCACCTGCCTGAGGATGAGACGGGGGGTGTCTAGGTGAGAAGCTGGGAACAAATATTCCACATGCACCTGGAAAGGTGAGAGCTTGTGAGGGCAAGGGCATTCTAGGGGTGCAGCTGAGGAAGAGCAAGCAAGTAAATGCAGTGGGAGGAAGGAGGGCGTGAAGCAATGGCAAAATGCAAACAAGCAGGTCAGAGAGAGCTGAGAACAGCCATGTGGCTGGCCAGGCAGTAGGAGTTCTTACACTGACTGGGTGTCCAACCTCCCCATTCCCAGTTAGGACCCTGAGGCCCACAGAGAGCAAGTACCTACGCCAGGTCGCACAGCCCACCTTTCAGAAGCACCCGGTGTTGGTGCTGTTTGCTCCAGCGAGACAGGCACAGCCGATGTCCAAGCTTACCCTTTGCCACCAGACTCCCTGGTGTGGACACGGTCTAGGAGCTGTGGGTGCCTACAGAAGCCTGGCTGCCGCAGGCGTGGGTGCCTCCTGCTCTGCAGGTCAGCGCAATATCCAGCTGGAAGTGTTCCAGGAGAGCTGGTCAGTTGTAGCACACACAGAGAGCCCCCGGATAGCAGGACCTCAGAGCACAC